AAAGACAACACTAGACACAACATGGATGACTTTTTGTTTGCTTGTTTGTTTTGCTATTGTTGATACAGGATTTCACTATCACTATGTAGCCCTAGCTGCCTGGAACTTACAGAGATCTGCCCGACACACTCGGCTAGGTATTATTACTTTGAACACTAAGTGCCAGACTTCAATTTTACCAACACTCTCCCCCAGAAGCCTACTGAACATTCTCTATGGCTTTACATATCCCTTTTCCCTAGTCACCTGTGTAAAATCTGATGTGGTATTCTTTATCTAAGGCCCAATATTTATTTCATTTATTTATTTATTTTTCTTTACATTTATTTATTTATTTATTTATTTATTTATATTTATTTACTTTGAGATACAGCTCAGCTTTCCTGGAACTAACTCACTCTGTAGTACTGGCTGACCTGCCTGCCTCTGCCTCCCAAGTGCTGGGATTAAGAGTGAACACCACCGCCTTCCCTTTCAGCCGACTGATCACACGGAGAGCCCTCATCCAGTGGCTGATGGAAGCAGAGACAGACATCCACAGAAATACACTGAGCTGAAATCTGGAACCTAGTTGAAGAGAGGGAGGAATGAAGATTGAAGGGGTCTGTACCAGGTTGGAGAAATCAGTTGGCCTGAACAAGGGAAAGCATATCGACCCCAGATGCTGTCTGGGAGGCCAGTACAAGACTGATCCAGCCCCCTGAAAATGGATGCCAATAAGGAGGCCCGAGGGAGAAGGGACTTACATGTGAAACAAGCCTATTCCCTAACTTGAATGAATATATATATATGTGAACACCACCATGCCTGGTTTTACAGACTTATTTTTTGTTTTATGAGTGTTTTGCTTTTGTGCATGTAAGTACATGTGCGTTCAGTGTTCAAAGAGGCCGGAAAAGGGTGTCATATCCCCTGGAGCTAGTTATAAGCACTTGTGAGCTGCCATGTGGGTGGTGGGAATCAAACTTGGACTTCTGTAAGAGCAGCCAATGATCTCAACTACTGTGCCATCTTTCTAGTCCTTATACTTCATTCATAAAATACTTGATCTTTTTAAAATCCAAAATAAATTAATATTAAATAGATGCAAAATCTGAGTATCTGTTGTAATGAAACCTGAATGTTTGAAACTCATTTTATAATAATAATTTCTCTCTCTCTCTCTTTTTTTTGTTTTTGTTTTTTGTTTTTCAAGACAGGGTTTCTCTGTGTAGCTTCATAGCCTATCCTAGCACTTGCTCTGCAGACCAGACTGGTCTCGAACTCACAGAGATCTGCCTGTCTCTGCCTCCCGCGCTCTGGGATTAAAGGTGTGCACCACCAACACCCAGCTAATTATTTATCTTTTAAGGTTAAAGTGCTATTTATATCCTAATTATTTTCTTAATGATTTTATTTATTATGAATACAGTCTTGTGTCCACATGTATCCCTGCAGGCCAAAAGACGGCATCAGTTCTCATCTAAGATGGTTGTGAGCTGGGAATTGAACTCAGGATCTCTGGAAGACCAGCTAGTGTTCTTAACCCCATTCAACCATCTCTCCAGCACCTCTTAATTTTTAAAGTTATTATTATGGATGTGTGCATGATGATGAGGTAAGAGAATCTGTGGAGTCAGTTTATTCCTTCCACCTTTAGACAAGTTCCCAGAAATCAAACTCCAGTCATTGGGCTAGCATAGGTCACCAAGCACCTTTATCCATTGAGCCAGCTGGCCTGCTCAGAAGTTCTGTTTATATTTGTTTTTCTCACTGAGCACACATTCAACACTAAACTATACTTTCACCCTTTATATTATTGGTAAATATAATTTAAGTATAGTTAATTACAAAACCCAATATAGAGTGCTCAGCCAATTATAGTTTAGAGACACTGCTATAAGCCTCTGTCTCAGGCATGCTAGCAAGGCATGTTCTCTACACCAAGCAAAGAGTTCAGTAAAGTAATAGTATCGCTTTAAAAAAAAAAAATAGCCATTGGCTGGGTCAAAGAGATGGCTCAGAAGTTAGGAGCACTTATTGTTCTTCCAGAGGACCCAGGCTTCATTTCCAGCACTGACATGGTGGCGTCACAATCATCCATAACTCCAGTAATGTGACACCCTCTTCTGAGTGCTGATGACATCAGGCATACATGTGGTGGACATACATAGATGCAAATCCTAAAGTTTTTTGTTTTTTTAAAGGCACTGGTGGATCTTTAAAGGAGGAGGGCTTCTACAAGACCATGAAAGAGGTAATGACTCTTCAGGAATAAACGTGGTAAGGATGCTATGAATAAATATTAAAGGCTGAAACACAAGCATTAAGGGTACTAGCATAAAATGTCTATGCAAAGAGCTGGCATGACTAAGGAAAAAAAGTCATGAGAATTCACTATTGAGCATCTTATGGCTTTTTAAAAGAAGGGTCTTTCTTTGCACAGGTATAACTGTCAGGCAGGAAGCAAGATGTCTGTTTATAAAGCACCAAGAAATGACACAATGAGAAACAAGAAATCATTGAAAAAAACTGGCTTTCTCCCACCAGTCATCTACCAACAAACTTCAGAAAGATAACTGATCTGAACACAAATAATAGTTCACAGAAATCTATCAAACAGTGATGCCAGTCAAAAATTCCTGAAGTTACTCTGTGAAGACTTAGTCCATCCAACACACGCCACACTTTCCACAGGAGATAACACTTCCAAAGACATCTTTACAATGCTTTCACAGAAAATTGTCCTAACAAGAATTTTAAAAAGCCTATTTGTATGCAGCACCATTCACTCTCATGGTGAACTTTAGTCTGTCTATGGTTGGAAATTTTTCTTATTTTAACACATAAAACTCAAGGACAAAATGATTCCTGACACTTTTCCTGCACTGGTAGCCCAAAATCCAACAAAGGCTTAAATTCACCATTGCCTGTAGTCATTTTTAACTCTTCTTCCCCACTAAATCTATAATGTAAAAAGTTGCTAAGACATCTGCCCTTTGCATTCACAGGCAAGAAGTTCAGATTGTTGACCTAAGAGAAGCCTTAGATTTGAGGCAATTTAACTGTCTAACTAAAAGACAGTGAGAGAAATCACACAAGTCTTAAAAATGTATTAAAGAAAAAAGTTAATACAGACACACAGAACAGTGTCTTCAGCAAATCAATATATAACTATAGATTGGAATAGGAAACAGCTAATAAGGTCTGAAGAACAAGCCAGGTTGGGGGTGGGAGTACTTATCCCTACAATTCCAGTACTTGGAAGCTGAGGCAAGAGAATTACAAGGCCAAGGCTAGCCTGGGCTACCAAGAATCTGAAGCCAGACTAGCTACCTAACAAGAGCCTGCCTTTAAAAATTAATTTTTAGGGGCTGGAGAGATGGCTCACAGGTTCAGAAACTGACTGCTCTTCCAGAGGTCCTGAGTTCAATTCCCAACAACCACATGGTGGCTCACAACCACCTATAATGAGATCTGGTGCCCTCTTACAGCCTGCAGGCATACATACAGATAGAATACTGTATACATAATAAATAAATAAATTTGGGGAAAAAGTTTATTTGTAAAAAACAAAAAATTCAATTTTTAGGCCAGGAAATGGTGGTGCATGCCTTTAATCTCAGCATTCGGGAGGCAGATGAATCTCTGTTAGTTCAAACCCAGTCCTGTCTATAATGCTAGTTCTAGGACAGCCAAGGCTACAAAGAAACCCTGCCTCAAAAGACCCAAAATAACAATAATAATAGTAATAATAACAAGAACAACAATAATAATATATCTTAATTACTAAAATTACTTGAAACAGTTTAAGCCAAATTGGTAAAGCCTGTGAATATTAAAGTTAGGAAGTAAAGTGATCACAACTAGACAAAACTGAACAGTCAATCCGAGATCACTACTGGCACTAAGAGGCAAATGATCATAGTATACTTTGTACATTTAAAATAAATACAAATTTTATAGAACTTAGGCCTTGAGAGTAATGGCATATATGCAAGGAACTAGTAATCAGAAAGACAGCTATGGTTCTAAAAATTACTAGGAAATGACAAAAACTAAGGACTGACATGAATAGTTTATATCCTAAATGTAGTGAATTAGTAAAACTGATACTTTGTCTAGGCATGTGGAACAAGCCAGCAAACCTAGAACTTGGGAGGCTGAGCATGAGGACCAGGAATGAAAGTATGTTTTGTAGTGGGGGGGTGGCAAGACCTGGTATTTCTTTACTTGTTTATAGTGAATGCTCTGTGGGATATGCAAGGCTCATCATCTTAAAGCAATTACTTTACTTAAAGAATTAAAATACATAAAAGGTCATTTTGGGGGTGGGGTGGGGTGGAGCGGAGAGACTGTTGATAGCTAAGTAGTTAAGAGCACTTGCAGCGGACCCAGTTCAATTCCTAGAAGGCTGCAGCTCCAGTTTCAAGAGATTCAGTGCTCTTTTCTGGCTTCTAAAGGCTGCTGAACACATGAAGTGCACATGAATTCATATAATCACACACAAACATGAACAATAAAAATAAGTAACTTTTTAAGGAAAAAAAAAAAACAGAATAGAAGATAGCCATTACATCTAACAACAACAAAAAATGATCAGAAGTATGGTGACGTCAACTACCAGAGACATCATGGTGGCAAAGCTTTGAGAAGAAATACAGATTCATATTATTTCAAAAGGAAAAGGTCAAGTTTATGTAGAAATGAGCACATTAAAATGTGTATTTGCACCAGGCACAGTGGTGCACATCTTTAATCCCAGGACTTGGGAGGCAGAGGCAGGTGGATCTTGGTGAGCTCAAAGCCAACCTGGTCTACATACATAGTGGATTCCACAACAACCAGGGCTATGTAGAGACCTCATCTCAAAAAACACAAAAATAAATAAATAAATAATAGGTAAAGCAATACAGCAAAAAAGTATTTGCTTATTTAAAACAACCCATTTTCTTTCACTGTATTTAATCCCCTAAAAGCCACAGGTGGCCGAAAAGAATTACTTCAACAGAAATACTTACTTAGGAAATGAATTTAATCCCAGGTGCTCTGTCTTGGAATATAATATTTTTTCCACCATGTCATAAAGTGGTCTCCACGGCAACTCTAAATCATCTCTTGAGAGAAGTTCCTTTTTCCTAAAACAAACAAACAAACAAAAGAACAGAAAAGAAAAAAGAAATCTAAATATATGGAATCATTTATTCAGATGCATGGTTATGGTTATTGAGTATATACTACACAGAGAGGAAAGCTAATGACAGTCAGCTGCTGTTAGAATGAGCACTAAGGAAGAACTTGGCACTTCTCAACACCAAGCAGTGCCTATTAAACTTGTGCCACATTACTGTAGATGAATTCCATACTTTTCTTTAAATTTTTTAAAAAAGATTTACTTTATTGTATGTGAGTATTTTGGCTAATACATACCTGGTACCCACAAGAGCGAAGAAGGCATGAGATGTCCTGGAACTGGAGTTACAGATGGCTCTGAGCTGTCATGTGGGTGCTGGGAAGCAAACCCAGGTCCTTTGCAAGAGCACCATATGCTCTAAGCCACTACAATGCATCTCTCCAGTTCCCAAATGTCATGCTTTGCTATATCATGTGTGTGGTACTGAATGTTTCTAACCTTTGCTGGATATAAGGATAGTTTATACCTCATGGAGCAAATAATTATCATAAATAAAACAACCTAAGCAATTATAGTTGAGCATGAACTGTAGGGAGACACTGTAACCACGCCTCCTAATGTCTGGCTACAGGTGTGCTTGACCAAGCCTGTCAGGGTGTGGTCAAGGGGTGTTCAGGATTATGCCTGTGAGGTTAAGGTGGGGCAGACATGTGGGGCCCCTTCTCTCTGAACTCGCTGCTTGGCTGCCCTGGGCAAGCTCTGACTTGCATCTGGCTGGTATTTATCTGAATAAAGATATCTTAAACCTACAGGCTCACGTTTCAATGAACAATTAAAAGCTTCACAGAGAAAATGTTTAAATCAACACTAAACTTTGGGTAACTGTTCTGTTCATTTCCCAAAATTGAGTCTTAACCATTAAACCTTAAAAAGACAAAATCTCACCAAGAATAACAGAAAGTAGACTTACTTTAATAAGTTGATCAAGAGTCGGGCAAATCCCTGCATCATGCTGATTTCGAGTTTCGGAATTGATACCAGCTCATACAATAACTTAATAAAAAGAACATGATCTTCTTTGCTAAATTTTCTCCCATAAAGTCGGATATACCTGCAAAAGGGAAAGAAATCCTTTAAAAACATGTCCAGTCACTCAAGTTTATTACTACTACATTAACTACACTATTTGAAGTATGGAGAAAGCCGATGGATGCTTCATGGCGTGATAAATAGAAGAAGACATAGCATACTCAATGAATGTACTGCTCAACCTAAAAAAATAGTAAACTAAATAAGCGTAAAAAATTAAAAGGGACTGGGCATTATGGCACATGCCTTTAATCCCAGCACTCGGGAGGCAGAGGCAGGCGGATCTCTGTGAGTTCGAGGTCGGCCTGGTCTCCAGAGGGAGTGCCAGGATAGGCTCCAAAGCTACACAGGGAAACCCTGTCTCGAAAAACAAAAAAAGAAAAGAAAAAAAAAACATAAATAAATAAATGGAAATCCTATAATATATTACAACATGTATGAATTGCCTGAAATAAGCCAGTCACAGAAAAGAATCACAATTCCATTCATGTGATCAATGTAAAGCAATCAAACTCAAAACAGAAAAGAAGCTAGAAAGGTAGCTGACGACTGTTAAGAAGAGAATAAGGTTTTGTTGTTTAACTGGTACAGAGTTTGAGACATGCAAAATGAAAACATTACAGAGACCTATTACAACATACAAATAGTTAATACACCTTCATTAGTCACCTAAATATTAATAATCAAAAGGAGTCAGGCATGGTGGTGCATGACTTGGGAAGTGATGAAGGAGGATCAGAAATTCAAGGCCAGTCTGGATTACATGAGAGACTCTGCTACAAAAGAACCCCTGCCCACCACAAAGTGTTAAGAAGGTAAATTTATGATGCATGGCTTTAAAGGGGGGGTGGGGGGGAGAATCATGAATTCGATGGACCTTAATTTTGAATACTGCTAAGCATTTTATATTTACACAAAAGAATTATTCTGTACTTTAGTCAACACATAATCAAGTATTTAATAATAAAGCCAAATTAAAACACCGTTGTTTTATAGGATCACATCCCCAATACTGGGATTAAATTTAAGGACTGACATTCTACCACTGAGCTATACCTCCAAACCCCTACCATTTGTGGTACTCCCATAATCCTAGCAGTAAAAGGCAGCAACAATATCAAAAGTTCACAGCCAGTTAGCACAGTGAGTCCCAAACCAGCAAAGGTTGCATAGTGACACCAACTCTCCAAAAATAAATAAATAAATAAAAAAACAAAATAAAAATAAGCTAATAAGTTTATCTCAAAATACATACTTAATACTTAACTCAGAAAAACCATATTATCAGGGCTGGAGAGATAGCTCAGCGGTTAAGAGCAGTGGCTGTCCTTCCAGAGGTTCAATTCCCAGCAACCACATGGTGGCTCACAACCACCTATAATGAGATCTGGTGCCCTCTTCTGGCCTGCAGGCATACATGCAGATAGAATACTGCCTACACAATAAATAAATAAATAAATAAATAAATAAATAAATAAATCTTTAAAAAAAAAAAGAAAAAGAAAACCATATTATCAAAAGGCCAGTCAATAAGCAAGCATAAGAGTAAAGTCTTCACGTCTCTTGTTCTCTTGTAGGCAGGGTCTCACTATAGAGATCTAGCTGGCCTGAAACTCAGTATTGTAGATCAGGGTGGCCTCAAACTTAGGAGACCAATTGTGAGAGCCAAAGCTTAATTTCTGTGCATAAGATCCACAAAACAAAAAATGCCTCTCACATGTAAGCCCCTTGCCTAAAGACAGACACTCCCCTAAAATGCTAGAGGCTGTTGTTCATGTAAGATAACAGAAGAACCAGCCTGCCTCAATCTTAAAAAGCCATCTTACAGCAAAGACAAACTAGGTTAATTCCTGCTTATAATTAGACCTGTTACTCAAGGATTGGGCTATGCCAATCTGTAACCTGTAACCTTAACCACAAAATTGTTCTGTACTCCCTGTCTTAGGAACAGCAATCAGGTCACTGTTTCAAAAAGTTGTTTATAACCATTTTGCAACCCTACCTTTATTTCAAAAGGGTTGTTATGGCTACCTTGTTATAACTACTTGTAACCACGTGTTTCAGGAGGGACTAACTTGTTATACTTATGTTCTGCTAATGGAACCCTGCCTATTTTACCCCCCAAATGCTCCATTTGGAAACCCTGAGCTATATGTAGAACCTTGTCTTCCTTGTATCTAGTACTTAACTCTCAAATCCCACCTTGGGGAAGGCAGCCTGTGTGCACAAATAAAAAAGCTTGCTTTAATTAATTTGGTCGTGATGATTTGGGTCAGAGGTCTTTCTCCTCCCACCTTTGGGATTAACATAAATCACGTTTCCATTTCTCTAAACAAGTTTGGTTGACCCAACTGTACCAGATGTGCTTGATCACATGAAGAAGATGGGAGGTACATAGGCAGAAGTATGTCAGGATATATGTGCTTGTCCCAATTGGAAGAAAGCAGGAGATATATAGACTCCGTATGGGGTTTTGCCTTTATAAGCACCTAGCCAACATAGCTCATGGCCATTTTCTGGGAATCCCTGAATGGATCTGGCAAAGTCCTTCATCTTGGCCAGTGTTTAATTAAAGCTTGTTTCAAATTTGACTCAAAATTGTGGTTGTGGTCTCACCAGGTGGAATTAACATTTTCTGGAGGCCCCAGTGAAATCCAGACTGCCTGCCTAAATTCTAAAGCTGGACCTTTGCTCCACAAATCCAGGACTGAGGGGATGCCTCAGGAGGCATGTACCTTGCAATGTTCCAAGTCTCTGAAGCTTGCCTTTGGTTTCATGGACTATTGAAATGAATTGCCACACTGAGAAAAGCAGGAAGCATTTACAGAGGCCTGGTGAGTAACAGGCTGGTTCTATCCTGTGGGGTGCAGACCTGGGATGTAGAGGCGGCTCAAAATACTCTACCATCTAGGACAAGATGTGAGATGCCATTCGCTGCCTGGTTCTGGTTGTTTGCCTGTGTTTTCTGGTGTGTCTACAAGTTTTGTTGCAGATTTGAGAGCCTAGACTGATATATGCTCAGTTGAATGTATGAATATATGCTTTGTTACTGACTGATCCCCTTTGAGTGTTTTGTGTTGCCACTCACTGCAAGTCACTGGCCACCAGAGCTAACACCACCTGCCATGGCTGCTTTGATGGCCAGGCCTCAGGATTTATCTATGAACTTTCTTGTCACTGGATTCAGGTTAGGAGGCATTCAAATGTCTTTTGGGTATAGATAACAGAGTTCTTAAAGCAGGCTCTAGAGATGGGTTATGGCTCTCCCCTCTCTACACTAAGCATATTTAAAAGTTTCCTCCATGTCCTGTGACACAGAAAAAAAGAGTAAGCATAACAGCTTTAAAAAAAAAAAAAAGGGTGGTGCATGCCTTTAATCTCAGCACTTGGGAGTCAGAGGCAGGGGGATCTCTGGGAGTTGGAGGCCCGCCTGGTCTCCAGAGGAGTGCCAGGATAGGCTCCAAAGCCACACAGAGAAACCCTGTCTCGAACCCCCCCCTCAAAAAAAAAAGCTTTCTGTTCTGTTTCTCAATACTTGTAAGTTTATTGGGTATGGTTAAAAATGTAAAGACTAGCCAGGCAGTGGTAGCCCACGCCTTTAATCCCAGCACTTGGGAGGCAGAGGCAGGTGGATCTCTGTGAGTTCAAGACCAGCCTGGTCTACAAGAGCTAGTTCCAGGACAGCCTCCAAAGCCACAGAGAAACCCTGTCTGGAAAAACCAAAATAGTAAAGACTATGATAAAAGTTAACTTAAAATGCTAATACAGGGTTGACACTTAAAAATCTATGCATAGATAATCTTAATGGAACCATGTGTCGTGACTTCAATTTGGGATATAAGCAGCATGTGGCTTGCCATCATCTTAGCTGTTATGGAGGCAGTCGCATGGCTGGCAATCATCATTGCATGAATGTGACTTCACCACCATCTTGATTAAAGGTGACAATTGGGTATAAAGCAAACAAGCAGGCAACAATAAGTCTCCAGGACATTTTGGATTAGGATGGATTTTTGTAGGAAAATTCCTGTCCTGAAAACAAGGTTTATGAAAGATAGGATTTAAAAACAATGGTTGTTTAATTATGTATTAAAACTGCATCTTCATGCATCCAAATACAAGAACATACATTGCACTGGCAGGCAAACTTTGTAGTCACCCAATTGGTATTGGTTTTAAAGATATGAAGTCATGGAGACCAGTTGAGACTTGCCACTGTGTTGTACGGCTCGAGTTCCCAAGGAGAGCCCATAAGAAGGACCCTAGCAGTTTTGGAATGACCACGCCATGTATGTGATAGTCACCAGAAACATCAGCCACAATGAAATAGAGCCAGCTGGGGTCTAAAAGACAGGCTGTGTATGCTACTGAAGGAGAGGCCAGATTGGTGAACCAGACACTGGCATTGTGGGAGTTTGGTTGTGCCTGTTTTTTCTATCTTGAAAGAAAAAAGGAAGGAAGGAAGGAAGGAAGGAAGAAGAAAGGAAGAAAGGAAGGAAGTAGGTAGGTAGGTATTTCAGTTTTGATATTTCAGAAGCCCACAGTTGAGAGCTTTTAAATTTTAAGGGGAAATTTTGGAGTTTTACAGAAAATTTAAAAACCTGTATATTTTTTAAGGAACAGCTTTTAGAAATATTTAAATTTATAAGACTATGGGACATTTTAAGTTCATAAAATGTTTTATATTATTAGTATGTGATCTTGAAAATAAATAAAGAGTTATGGCCACAACTAGGAGCACCAAACACTAAATAACAGACACTGGGATAGTCCTATCTTATGATACAATAAGACAATGACCTAAGCAGTCTGGGAAAGAGCTTGAAGCAATGGTTCTCAATCTATGGGTCACAATCCTTGGGGTCAAAAAGACCCTTTCACAAGAGTAGTCTAAGACTGTCTGCATGTCGGATGTTTGCACTGTGATTCATAACAGTAGCAAATTGCAGTTATGAAATAGCAAAGAGAATGGTGTTATGGTTGGAAGTCACCACAACACAGGAAACTACGTTGAAAGGGCAC